CCTGTGGGCAGACCCAGGGCAGTGTTGACTGCCAGCAGACCGAGCACAGCCGGGGTTGGAGCAGCCTTCGGGTCACAGTGGGACCCGCCCGCAGGCACAGGAGTGTGCTGTGGATCTGCTGAGCACGGGGTGTGCGAGGGGAGAACGGTCTCCATCAGAGAGCAGCAGTGCACAGAGTCCCTCCAGCAGCTCCATACCGTTCATATGGTTTCATTAGTTCCTAACTAGAACTAATGAAGTTAGTTCCTTACAGTAATTAGTGGGAGCAGAAGGAGCATTAATGCTGATCCTACAATAAAGTGCCTTTTCCACCACAGAATTCCAGCCCCGACTCGAGCAATGCTTCCATGCAACCTGCAGCCACTCTACTGAGGTCTGGTGCCTGTTCAGCAGCAGCACAGATGCCCAGCCTAGGAAAAAGATGACATCAGATGCTGAAATTAGACATTTCCTGTTTTCATCCTGATGTCTAGAGATAACATCGTACTCAGGGAGGGAGGAGAGAATTTCTGGGCAATGCATTGTTTCAAAGGTGGAAATCTTTTAAACCAGCTATTGTGAAGAAAAAAAAAAATAGAGTTCATGTTTGTAGGTGTCATTTTGTATCAAAGCTGATTATGTTCAGAGTGCTGCTAACAATGAAAATTAATTATCTGCAATAGATTCAACATGGCAAGTAGATTCACCTGTAAGTAAAACTGGCATTATAAAAAAATAAACTAGAAATAAAAATTGCAGTAAGTGTAAAAGCAAGGGGGGTAAAAAAAAAAGAATAAAACAACAAAGACTGAGTTCAGTGTCTTTTTCTTATGCTAGTGCTGTTAAGGGACTTTTTTAGAGAGCAAGTTTGTGTCAAAAGCATAGCCTGAAAGTCTGACTCTAGAATGTTATCTGTTCAGATTACAGAACAGGAAACCCACACTGAGGGTGCTGTCAGAAAAACAATCTCTTAAAAAAACTCCAATATGTTTAGAACAGTCTCTTTTATCCTGCAACAGAGAGCATCTTAGCAGAAGAGTGACAGAAAAGAGTTTTCTACTTGACTGACTATACTGGAACAACCCAAGTTTGCAGCTGTAACTGGTATTTTATCTTCAGGACTCTAAATCCATACCTTCTGTGGAAGACATGAGCGGTTCTGTTCAGCTATCTGGTTCAGTGGGGTTTGGTAACCATTGGTTTCGTATGTATGATAATAGCTGAGTGAAAAACAAGAACACAGTGAGCTGTATTGGTTTGTAAGACAACCCTCAGGTCAGCTTCCTCTAAAGAAAAGAGTCTTGAAATACCACAACACAACCACACCATCGATTCCAGGTTCCTCTGCCTTGTACAGTTTGCAAGCGTGAGCTGAAGGGACAAGAATTACATGACCCAGGCACACTCAGGCAAATATTCCACTGCACGAAGTGTGGAACACTTGGATCTTGGCACCAAAGGCCACGGATGGACACCCAGAAGGCTGCCTTACCCTTCCTTCTGCTTAGAAAGGATTTTCCAGACAATGCCTGCCCCCAGGAGAAGCAGGACTCCTGCAGCTGCAGCTCCTGAGAGAGAACAGCACGCGTTACTCCCACTGTGTGTTTCAAACCATAGCAGCACACAGGACATAACGAGGCACATCTCCAAAGCAAGCAGACAGACACAGTGCCACTGAGGCCACTGCATAAAGGTAAAGATCTGGCCACAAAAACGTCTCTGAGCAGCTTACCTAGCCCTACTGGATTGCTCTGGCGTGACGCTGGGGGGAAGAGAGAAAGACAAATCAACCAACTATTCTAACAAACTCCAGTGCTCCTCAGCTGTAGTTAATCCCTTTCTCCATAAAGCTTTTCCTGCTAAGGCCAGCAATGCAGGATTTAAAACCATAAACACTGGCATGTTCCAAAGGCACCCGTGTGTTTCTCTTTGCTCTTTGCTTCATTCCCATTTCACTCACTCAGTTTACAGGCGGGTACAGGAGGGTCCCAGCTGAAGTCCTCTTGGCACTGAATCTGACTGATGCCTTCCAACGTGTAACCATCATCACATTCAAGAGTGATGTTAGTCCCAGAGCGGTAAGTGTTTCCTTGTATGGCTTTCTTAACACCTTGAACTTCGGGGACTACACATCTGATCTCTGAAATTAGAAGTCATAAAAAAAAGGAAATGTAATGAGAATGAACATAAAATATGAGAAAAATGTCTGTGTGTTATTTAAGGCATTGTTCTTCAATTCTTGCTAAGGTAACCAGGAATTAATTTTTTTTTTTCCATGGTGTAATTCCTTCCTTTGTGGCTGCAGAAGGGGGTGGGTGTCTCACTCCTACGTTTGAATATTTGTGCAGATCAGCTACTTCACAGATAGAAAATCATGTATAGTAGGGGAACCCTTAGAGAAGCTGCCAGAGAAAGAGATTTTTTTTTTCTGATATTGGGCTACCAAAATGTTTGGAGAAGAAAGGTGTAGCAGGGAAGAATTCTGTGGAAGCTTTAGAACAAACCGCCCATAACAACCCACTTCTCATCTGTAGAAATCCCTCGCTGTTCAAAGATGTCACCAGCCATATTATGTATCAACAGTTTATTAATTAGTCCAGCCATCTAAGCTACTTACACCACTGATTCCAACAAGTGAGTTAGTTGCTTCAGTTTAAGCATCTGATCACCTTTGACAGCCCACACCCATGAATTCTGGAGAAAGTTCTCAGTAGAGACCAAAGGGGTAACGTCAACGTGGAATTTTACCCCTTTGTTCTATGTCCTTTTTTAATATTTATTTTTACTTTCACACATAATAGTTACTCAGGAGACTTCAAAACCACGGGAATGTGGAATGGGAGGGAAGCCTCTCTGTGAGGCTGCTTCCTTTACAGAGCCTCTGACTTATTTCCCTGAGTGTTTGGTGTGTTCTTTCCTCTCATTGTTACCCAAGCGGGTTTCAGCTCGAGTCACCGAGGTGGGTGCAGCTCCACCACGGAGCACCCTGTGTGGGGGATGGATTTCTTCCAGTGAATGGCATTTTCCATGCAGCAACACCCACACTGGGGATCTTGTGACATTCATAAAATTGCCTTTAGTCAACTTTGCCTGCGAGCTGCTGACCTTCACAGCAAGCTCCACACAAGTGCCCAGTCACAGACATGGAGGCATTTTCTGAGAAGGGACTGATCAGACTTGTGTGATCTACAAACCATTCATCAGAGACAACTTCTCTGATCACTGCCTTTGTTTCCTGCTAGTGATAACTGAGGGGTGAGAGATACAAGAATGGAAGGAAAGGGAGGGGAGAGAGTTTCTACTCTTCCACTGAAAATAAAAAGTTTTAGTGGAAGAAAATTACAACTCATTCATAGCAACAAGAACAGACATGGAAAATGTGCAAGAATTAAAATTGCCTTTTGGAATTGCCTCTATGGTACTTGTACCCTCCTGACTGTGAGCGTGAGGTTCCTGGCCTGCTTCTTTACAATAATACTGTACTCTTCCCAGGGATAGTAACAAGTAGATAATTTCATAATGAACAGATCAACATTGCCTAGCTATGATATAAAAGTTGTTCCCAAAGAAAATAAGGGGATGGAATTCAGTGTTAGCTGCAGAAGATTTTACTGCTTAGATTTTAACCTGCCTGTCTCTCTGAAGACATAATTTTCTCAGAAAGTATAACATGTATAACCTGGCTGCATGTCTCCTCAGCCCCATTGTGGCTCTGCCACCATGAATTCCAAGCAACATGAGCCAACCAAGCAGACAAACACACCTTTGCACCGAGGAGGAGGCTGGCTCCAGGTCCCTGACCCCGTGCAGCTGATGGAAGCATTCCCCACGAGTGAAAAACCAGGATTGCAGCTGTAGGACACAGAGGCTCCGTAGGAGAAAGTGTCTGAGGTGTTGCCTTTGAGCTTCCCGTTGGTGATGTTTGGAGGATGGAGACACTTCACAGCTGGAAGGCCAAGGAGAGACAATCAACAGCATTGGCATGAGGATCCTGATGAACTGCACAAGTGCTCCTACATCAAAAGTGTCTGAGGAACAACTGCTGTGTTCCCCCTTAGCAATGCTTGGAGGAGGCAGACACTTCACTGTGAAAGAGGAGAGGGTGACAAGATGATGTTCAGTTGTGAAAAAGATGGCAACAAGAAAGTAAAACTAGTGGAGCAGTTCCCTGCAAACAGCAGAACAGGTTGGGAGGAGGAGTTAGTGGTTAGTAAATCTTGCTGCTTCTTATGATAGACCTACCTGGCTTTGCTGTGGTGTGAGGGTCATGATAACGTTCAGCCACTCCATCTAGATGCAGCATGAAGAGTTTAAAATACACATTTGGTTGGGCAAATACAATGCACAAATTTACCTTCATATTCCACCATCCTGCCTTTGCATTTCCAGCAAAAAATTCACACTTCTATGCTAGTGGCCTGCTGTGAAGCTACCAAATTTCTCACTTTCAGGAAATGAAAAGAATGTGGATTATGGATTGTAACAAGCAGGGTGAGGAAAGTGCAAACCACGCTTGCACACAGTGTTACCCCAAACCTGGCTAATCTCCTGTGGGAGAAGAGAGGCATAAACAAAACAACAATCTCTGGTTTCTACTTAAAGCAGCTGGAGCAGACAGGAAAAATAAATCCAGCCTGGGCTTCAGCGAGTGGGCAGGAGCAGTGGGGGAGGATCTGTGATGGTGCCAAGTCAGAGGGGGCCCCTTACCCCTCCTCTGACAGGCTGGCACGGGTGGCTCCCAGGTCCCGTTGGCTTGGCACTGGGCCGTGCGGTGGCCCCGCAGGGTGAAACCCTTCCGGCACTTGAAGCTGACGGTGTCTCCGTATGTGTAGGGGTGTCTGGGAACAGATATCCTCCCGTTCTGGATCTGTGGCACTGGACAGACCACCTCTGAAAAAGAGATTTGTTATCTCAAAGAGGGAGCCGTATGTGTGCTCTAACTGAGGCATATGTAGAGTCCATCCTTAACGTGCCACCGCTCAGAGAAGTTCCGCAGGTAGGACTTGGAGACTCCCAGAATACTTTCAAGACTTTAGAGGTTTTTAGTTCCTTTAGAGACTCCTGCATTGCCACATTACTGTCAAAAGCTGGACCACACTCTAGAAAACACTGCTCATGAACACTGGAGCTCAGTACCTGTCTCCATAGCTCAGCACCCAACTCTGGAGCTCAGCACCCTCACTCAGCACCCGCCCCTGGTTCTCAGCACCCTCAGCACTCCCCCTCCACTACCCTACAGTGCTCCCAGTACCCCCCCCCTGCTGTACCTGTCCCCCAGCACTAGAGCTGAGGGGGTCCTCAGGGCAGCTGGGGGTAGAAGGAGGGGGTGTCAGTAGTGGGGGGGTTAGAGGAGGGTGGATGGGGGTGTTGGAGGGGGAAATGGGGGGTCCAAGGGTGTCACTGGTCTGCACCCAGTGGGGACCTTCCCCATGGGGGCTGCCTCAATGACCACGTCTATAAACAGAATAGTGCAGATATGTTCCAATAAATATATTAAAGGGTGTAGGGATCCACAAGTACTGTTAGTCATTCTGCCCAGTGCTTTACTGTCCCAAGCTCATGCCTTCCGAGGCAATTCCTTCTGAAGGAAAGACTAATTGAAATGGTCAGCTCCTGCCAAACAGCCTTGTGGTTTGGTTAACAGTACAGTGGCTGAAAGATCCTGGTTCAATTTTACTCTGTGTCCCATTCTTGCACCCCAAGACACATATTACCTATGTTTGTGAAACAAAAGGGACAAATCCCTGCAGGCATCTCACAACTAACTCTTAAGTCTGTGAAAAATCAAAAGCTAGCACCTGGAAGATTTTTAGAAGAAATAAAACAAGCAAGCAAAAGAAAATCCTAGGGAAATATTATGCTTTGAAAGTCTTATTCCTCAAGGTTCTATAGATTTTAAGGAAATGCCTCTTTTTAAATTTAAGGACTTAATCCGGTAATGCTGGGCCAGATCTAGTAGTGACCTACTTACTCTGACAAATGGGAAGGACACCACTCCACGCAAGATCTGCTCCAAAAATCTCACATCTCCTGTGAGACTGTCCAACCAGTCGGTGCCTGCAGTTACAGAGAAAGAACTATCAGGAAATATCTCACTCCCTTCTGATTTCTCCCAATTCCGGCTGGTCACCAAGGTGTTTCTGTTGGAAATGAAGGACACCAAGTTCCTCCACCCCAGATCCAAGAGGATGATCCCATATTACTCTGGATTAGATTACTCAGGTGCTAAATGAGGACTTGGACCCAAGTGATTTCCAAACTGCTGGACCCTCGTGGCAGCACGTGCTCGCCTGCACTCCCAGTCCCTGCTTCGTGGCTGTCAGAGGAGGAGGACTGAAACTCAAGTTGGCAAAGTAAGCGACTGAGCACAGGCATGGCAAACAGAGACACTTCTGCCTTTCTGAGCAGGCAGCCGTGGCAGAACTGGAACCAAAGGACAAACTCTGGCTCGCTGCGGGAGAACGGCCACGCCGAGGAGGGGGCTCTGAGCCTTTGCTGCACGTTGCCCAGCACGGAGCTCAGACATGGAGCTGGCCGAGGCAGATTGGGACTCACCCTTCTTCACACGTGTGCCCCACGGTTGACCCAAAAAGGAGATCTGTCAGAACAACAACTCTGCCGTTCGCTGGCGTTTCGGGGTATTTACACTGCTTCCCTGGGAAAGAACAAGGCTGAGTTTAAACTCCTCTCTTGCAGTTTGTAGTGAGCTATGAGAAGGTATTTTAAAGGATCTGTCCACACTCAGACACCAACAACAGTATGATTTTCTATAGGCCAATAGCTGCCCAAACGATGTGACTAGTGAAGCCATGTATGAACCTTTGCTGTTTTTTTTTTAAAGAATTGCTGTACGAAACCCACAAAAACTTAGACACTTTTCGACCACCAACAGCAAACTGATGGAGCTATTCACTTTTGCAGAACTCTTGTGCTTCAGACCACGTGTGGTTTTTGAGGCATGTCAGAACTGGGGGCACTCCAGCATGTCTGGTGTATCCTGGCTGGCAGCTGTACCACACCGTGTCCCCCGCAGGGAACTCCGTCAGGTTTTTGTATTGCTCAGTCAGCACAGCAAAGGTCAAGTTTGGAGGGGCACCACAGCCACCTGTCAGGAAAGAAAACACAGGGAGAAACTGGGATATCAGTGACAAAGTTGTTTTAAAACCTGTATTGGGTATGCATAGAGAAGAATTTACAAGAAAATCTGAAAACAAAGGAGAAGGACTGAGGATTGAAAAGTTTGGGAAGAGAAAAGGAAAGGATGAGTCCTACAGGCTTTCAGTGGCAGAAATCCCCAGACTGTCCATGGCTCCTGCCTTGGAACCACAGTGTACCTGCACACCGAGGAGGAGGGAGGCTCCAGTTTCCAGAGTCAGTGCAGTAGATCGATGCCTCTCCCAGGAGGCTGTACCCAGGGTCACAACTGTAATTTACAACCATCCCAGCAGTGAAAACTTCCAAGTCTTGGCCGTCGTGATTTCCATTGTCAATATTTGGAGGAGAAGGACATTGCAGCACTGAAGAGAGAGGACAAAATGAAGTGACAAAAGGGCACGGACAGGGTGCCACGTAGGACGATCCACGTTCACACGCGAAGCCGCCGCAGCCGGCAGCACGCCGGGACCCGTGGGTGCCCCTGGGCGTGGGGTGCCCCCTCCCACACCACTCCTGGGGGGTGCTGAGGCTGGGGGTGGGTGCTGAGCTGGCCCCACCTGCGCAGCGGGGCTGTGGGA